AACTAAGTTCTTTCATGTATGTCTTAGTCCATTTGTGCTGCTATAACAAAGTATCTGAGACTTGGTAATTTACAAACAATATGAACATATTTCTCTCAGCTCTGGAGGTTGAGAGGTCCACGATCAAGGTGCCAGAACAATTAGTGTTTGCTGAGAGCTGCTCTCTGCTTCTCAGATCGCACTTTATTGTTGCATCCTTAGGAGTGGGGAAATGCTGTTCTCACATGAGAAAGGGGACAGAAGGACAAGAGAATCCTCACTTCAATTTCTGGCCACTTTTACAAGGGTGCTAAACCCATTAATGAGGGTAGATCCCTCATGACTTAATCACCCCCCTAAAGCCACACCTCATAAAAGTGTTGTATTGAGGATTAGGTTTCAATGTGAACTTTGGAGGGGACATCATCTGTCAAACCATAACTCTGCCTTTTGCTTCAACCTAATTCCCTAATGTCTAGCATATTCTAAGCTGCAACACTATTGATAGAAAGATTAGGAATACTATAAAGAAATTGCAGTGATGTCACAAAGTCCATTGTATTCACATGTATACACACTCACAGATAACTGGTATCATAGTCCATATGAAGTATGTGTTTCTTATCCCCTTAATAGCATATTGTCAATATTTCCCACATTATTAAAATCCAGAAACATTATATTAACCCCTATAAATTATTCCATAACATGAAAACACCATAATTTAAAAAATTATTCTCCAATAGGAAAACTAAATATTTTCTTTATTATAACAAACACCAAGACATGTATTACATACTTTTACATTTTTTTTTACTCTAACAATTTAGGAAAAATCCACTTTATGAAGAAATATCATAACAGGGGTATGCTGGGAAACTTTTTTGTTAACTGTGTTTTAATATTTAACTAATGCATTTGATATCACTAGTTTCAATCTACAAAAAACCTAAAATTAGAAATCAAAACTATTGTAATTTTTTCAGAGTCCTTAATTGGTGGACTGGTTCTTCTTCACTTTTGTGTACAAAGAACACTAAGTGATAAGAAATAACTTGCTGGCCAGGCGCAGTGGCTCACACCAGCACTCTGGGAGACTGAGGCAGGTGGATCACCAGGTCAGGAGTTCGAGACCAGTCTGACCAACATAGTGAAACCCCATCTCTCGTGGTGTGCACCTGTAATCCCAGCTACTCCGGAGGCTGAGGCAGGAGAATTGTGTGAACCCGGGAGGCAGAGGTTGCAGTGAGCTGAGATCATGCCATTGGACTCCAGCCCAGGCAACAGTGAGAGACTCCATCTCAAAAAAAAAAAAAAAAAAAGAAGAAATAATTTTATCTTAATAAGTATTTATACACAAAACGGAATAGCTCATCACCAAATCAAATGTACTTTTAAAATCTGTTCATTACTCTGACTATATTTATGCAAATAATATAAGAATAAAAAATTTAACAGAAGCTTAGATATTGAAGATTTGTAATAAGCAGAAGAAACTGAGCCAGCGTTCCCATGCTTCTATCATTTGGTGGAGGAATCTGACTTTTCTATCTCTTGGTTTAGCATTCTTATTTTATTGTACCACCATGTAGATATCAAAAGTTTGGTTACATATGTAGATGTTTGACCAAAAACTAAATAATTCAAAATATCTGAGGAATATCTGGTGATTTCCTTAACTGTTTAAGAGTATGTTGTTTTTCTGCTATGTGTAAATTAGTATAAAATTTGTCTCATCTGAAATACTTTTTTTCTGAGTTTCATTATATTCAAAGAGTTACAACACTTGGGCAGAGAAGTTTCAATGACTGATGTGATCTGAAGCAGATTTTCTGAGGAAGTTCTCCTATTTCTCTAAATACTTTTTAAATTCCCTCTCTTTTTTTTTCCATAACTGGTTTGTTTTTCAAATATGCACATTTGTTCTTAGGAACATCATTGTCTAATTAATGTTATTTTGCAGTTACACTGGAATTTATTCCTTATAAAAATATTTAATTGCATTGCTTATTGTTATCAAGGAGTTTACAAATCGGACAAAATGAGTAAACTAAATGAGTAAATTTCACATTTTGAGTTAAGTTTACTGTGTGAAGATTTTTGAGTTTTCTTAATGGAAAAACAAAACATAAAATCTCAGTTTGGTCTCTAGAATAAGATGGAATTTGTTGTGACAGTCATTTCAAAAAGGGTAAAAGCACAAAGTTCCAGCTGTTTGGTTAAAAAGAACTATTTCAAAAAAAGTCAAATGAAGTGCCAGAGTTTTTCTTGGAGCTTGCTTTGGCTGATGTAATTAAGAGATGATTTCTAGTGTACACTGTCCATTTGAAAAGCAAATGTGGAAGAGGTTCTAAAGGAATATGATGGCACTGTGGGAAGGCTGGCTAGAGGTTAAACATGCTCAACATCACAAGTCAGAAAAGACAAACCACATGAGATACTGTTTCAGTCTGGTGACAATGCTTTGTATCAAAAAAACAGACCATAACAGATGCAAAGATATGAAGAAAGGGAAATTTTATGCATTGTTGCTAAGAATGTAAATTAGTATAGCAACCATATAGAACAGTATGGAGGTTCCTCAAAAAAACTAAAAGTAAAACAACCACATGATCCAGTAATTCCACTACTGGGTATCTATTCAAAAGAGGAAATCAATATACTGAAAGGATATGTGCTGTCCTATGTTTACTGCAACACTATTCACAATAGCCAAAATATGGAATCAACCTAAGGGTCCATCAATGGGTGAATGGATAAAGAGAATGTGGTTTATATACATACATAATAGAGTATTATTTAGCCATAAAAGAATGAAACCCTGTCGTCTGCAGCAACACAGATGGAATTGGTGGCCATTATGTTAAGTGAAATAAGCCAAGCATAGAAGAACAGATATCGCATGTTCTTCCTGAAGTGTGGGAGATAAAAAGGTGGAACTCATGAAGACAGAGAATAGAATGGTGCTTACCGGAAGCCTGAAAGAGTAGCAGGTAGTGGCAGAAAATGGGAAAACGGAATATAAATATATTTATTACCAGTGAGGTGTACACTTAAATATAGTAAAATGGCAAATTTTAAAGGTATCTTTTACCTCAGTAAAAGCAACCTAAAATTTATGTAAAAGTATATGTGAAAACCACAGTAGTATTCTCCTTCTCGTTCTTGTATATGATGATAAATAAAAAAGAAACTACCAACATATTAAAAATTATAATGTTCCCTTTTTTCTTACTTTTTCAGAATCGCATGGTAACATGCAATGTTTTATTTAAAAGAGTACAAAGTATACAAAGTATACAATCAGTTAGCTTGAACCCTGCACTTGGAGTTTGGAGAGAAATCTATAGTTTTGAATACGGACGACATGGCTGGGTATAAGAAGAGCTTAAAAGGTTGTAGAATAACTGTATACCCTGTGACAAATGCTGATTTTAGCCAGAGTTTCTTTTGTTCGGAACACCAATAATGATACATACTATTGTCAGTCACCATTTTAAAATATAAAGTATTTTAGAGAAGAAATTATATGGCTCAGAAACTTCTGACATGGGAAAATGCGAGATTGCAGTATCAACTAGTTTAAATTGGAGAAGAGTAGGAAGGAGTGGGGAAGGATAAACAATTGCTGAGAATTATTGATGGAAGCCTGCTTACTTTCTTATGCTCACACATAAGAAGATGTAATTTGCACTGATGTTTTTATTGAGAAAAAACTATATGTTAGAAATATTATACTAACCAAAATTTATACTAATCGCTTAAGTCATGACAAAAACTGTGTAAATCATCAGTCCTGTTATCTACCCCTGTTTCACAGTGGCACAAATGCAGATTACCACAATTGGGTCAATTAGTGATCAATAAGAGAAAAACAGATAGCTACATTAAAATCTCTCTCCCACACACACATACACACACAACTCACATCAGGGCCATGTCCAAAAATGAGATGTTGTGTTTTTTGCTTTAGTAAATACATTATTGCATTCTTTCAAGAACTTAAAAGGAGACAAAATTTGTCTCAAAGCCAGAATTATTGAGAAACTCTGTGCTCAATGTATATATGCATATTAAGATTGAACTCCAAAGTTCTCAAAGTCTTTTATTTAACCTGATGTGTGTGTGTCTGTCTGTCTGAATTTTCTGTGTTATTTGAAATACCTTTTGATTCCTGATTCTTTATAGTAAATATTTACACTACTCACATAGTTTTATGGCATTCCATTTGATTGTACTATTCAAAATAAGTAAAACCATTAGTTATAGTAAATTCCAATGTCATGTGAACTATAAGCAATTAGCTAGCATTCAGATTTTTATGTTATGGTAAGTGAATAGCACTATATACTCTTCAGTGACTCATTTTTTTGTGCTTGGTCAAAGGTGGACATCGAGAAGCATGCATATGTAAACCTCAACCACTGACTTATTTTTTTGCCTTAATTTTCTTATAGAAAAATAAATCATTTCAGGTGTGCGAAGAGGTGAATTCTAATGCTTGATTGCTACATAGAAAAGTCAATGGAAATAAATTTTCCAGGTCAGGGAGTCAAGTATAGCTTTTTATTTAAAATACTGAAAGACATTAAGAGCAAGAAAGACTGTGAGTCATTTTTTTAATGAACCATGTATTACAAATGACATCTTCACAAAAGGGAGTAACTTTGTTGTCAATTCAAGAATCACCTTAAAAGTGAAACACTGAGCACTTAACCTTTACAAAAAGTATATAATGTAGAGGACATTTTTTTTTAATATTTTTGTGAAATGCCAGCTTTAAAGTAACTGTGCAAAATGCCAACCCGAAATGTTGGGTTAAATGACTTCACTAAACAATGTAACTCAGCGACATTTCCCTTTCATTTAATCACTAAACTAATGCATCACCAGATGCAGAGCTAACATAAAATATCTAAACATGTTGAAAATAATAATGATGACACGTGAACTCATTCCTTAGTGTTGTTTACATCTGGAGAAGTAACATTAATGTTGCCTTTAAAAATGAATTGATTAGCTTCAAGAACATGTGTAAGCTGCGGCCTTTACTGCAGAAGTGGGTGGAGGAAGCAGATAACAATGAAAATCTTCAGGAGATATGCAAAGCAGAAACCCTCGTGCAGGCCCGAAAGAGAAAGCGAACCAGTATCGAGAACCGAGTGAGAGGCAACCTGGAGAATTTGTTCCTGCAGTGCCCGAAACCCACACTTCAGCAGATCAGCCACATCGCCCAGCAGCTTGGGCTTGAGAAGGATGTGGTTCGTGTGTGGTTCTGTAACCAGCGCCAGAAGGGCAAGCGATCAAGCAGTGACTATGCACAACGAGAGGATTTTGAGGCTGCTGGGTCTCCTTTCTCAGGGGGACCAGTGTCCTTTCCTCTGGCCCCAGGGCCCCATTTTGGTACCCCAGGCTATGGGAGCCCTAACTTCACTGCACTGTACTCCTCGGTCCCTTTCCCTGAGGGGGAAGCCTTCCCCCCTGTCTCTGTCCCCACTCTGGGCTCTCCCATGCATTCCAACTGAGGTGCCTGTCCTAGGAATGGGGGACAGGGAGAGAGGAGAAGCTAGGGAAGGAGAACCTGGAGTTTGTGCCAGGGCTTTTAGGATTAAGTTCTTCATTCACTAAGGAAGGGATTGGGAACACAAAGGGTGAGGGCAGGGGAGTTTGGGGCAACTGGTTAAAGGGAAGGTGAAGTTCAATGATGCTCTTGATTTTAATCCCCACATGTATCACTTTTTTCTTAAATAAAGAAGCCTGGGACACAGGCTGGGACACACACACACACAAAAAAAATGAATTGATTTATTGAAATATATGTTAGTTGTTTTTTTAAAAAAATTAATAGCGGAGAATTTCTTGACACAATTCCTGTGAAATACCCCAAATAAAATGGTTAAATGCGGCAGTATTTTAAACACTTCCCCACCTTCTTCCTCCTCCCTGTTACTTTTCTCTGCCAAACACCAAGGAAACATGTTTGAGATTGGGGAGCCCCTGGTGCTTTACCAAGAGCAATGAGAGAAACTCTGATTTTGAAGATGTCCTTAATGTTCGCAGCCCCCAAATCTTTCCCTATATATTGCTAAAAAAAAAAAAAAAAAAACACCACATGCTTTTCAATGTATTATTGAGGTTAGGTGCATGAAAAGTATTCAAGACACTGTAAAAAAGATTACTGGGGATACTGGAGGGAGAGTGGAGTCTTGTGGTTGCCTTTCTAAGATATCTTCAATGGGAGTCTAAGAAGACAGCATTGGAACGTGCAAAGGGAGGTGATGCATAACTCTGAGCCAAACAATTTCTGACAAAAAGCATAAGGTATACTGCTAAAGCTCAAAGAAGGATTGACCTCCACGTGTCTCCTTCCAACTGAGCATAAAGAAGTAGAAAGTTTAATATTTAGACAAGTTGGAGGAATATAGTTACTCTTCTCCTTGAATATAGTTGTAAAATGCAAATGAACGTTAAGAGCCTCTTGGGAAGCTGCATCTAAAAGAAGTAAGCTACTATATAAGAAAATGGAAAATCTGAAATTGTCAGCTGGAGAGGCTGCATAAAGGCATGCTGATCAACAACCCTATGACCCGGTTTGGAGTAAATCATCTCGAATATTCAACCACACCAAACCTGCAGACAGCAGTCCTGATAGAATCTGACTATAGTATGACAAGGAACCTCAAGTATGTACTTCAGTACCCCCTCTTCCCAGATTCTGATCTCTAAAAGTCTGACCTAAAATTGTGGTTGTTTTAAAGCATTGCGTTTTGAGATAATTTGTTTTATAGCAAGAACCATTGTAATAATATTTTTTGTAGTCATATCTCTTTACATGAGCAGAATAATCAAACTCTGTTCCACATCAAAATAATTATATATATATATACATACATATACAGCTAAAGTAAATGATGAGCAGATTATTTGATTGTGAATTTGATTTAATACAGATTCTAATTCTAACAACTGTGTTTAATTTTAAATCTCCTACTTGATAAGACAAAACGAAGTCAAGATGCCAAATTTGGTTTATAATGCCTGACTGAAGAAAACATACCATTAATTTAAGAGGGACAAAAATCTCCTGGTTCTATATTTTGTGAAAACTAACATATCAATTGCTAAGTAATAGAAATTGAACAGTGTGCATTTATTCAGCAAGTATTTTTAAGGACTATTCAAAGCCAGACATCCTCGTAACTTTGTATAAAATAGGCATTGTCCTGTTCCCTGGAAGCTTATAGCCTTAGAGGTTATGAAAGTAGAAATTCATTTCTTCCTACTTTTATTTCAAAATAGTTCAAACTCACTAAACAACTGAATGTAGAATACAATGAACTGCATTTATCTGACTTCCTTTACATGTATTTATCAATTGCTAGTTTGTTAAATTGCTTTCTTTTCTCTTCCTCTTTCTTATTATTCCCTTCCTTTCCCGTCTCTTCTCTCCTCTCTCCATGACCTCCTACTTTTTGGAGGATGTGTGAATAAACTATGAATAGATAAATTCTAAGTCCAAATATTTAGAATTTACTCTCAAATGTAAAAATATGCTAAAAAACTTGGTTAATTTTCAAGATTAAAAAAAAGAATATAAAATGGAAAACGGAATTAAATTACCACCCCATAAAGCAACTTCTTATACATTAATTATCACTCCTATCTCTCCAACTTCCTTCCCACTCAGCCTTAGGCAAGAACTACTCTACACCATGACTGTAAATTTCTGTGTTCTGAACATTTCACATGAATGGAATCATATGTGTTTTTTTGTGGCTGGTTTATTTCATTTAGCATAATGTTTTCAAGGTTCATTCATATTACATGTCAATACTTCTTTCTTGTTTAGATCAGAATAATATTTTGTAGTACATATAAACCACATTTTATATATATATTAATTCATTGATAGGTATTTGCGTTGTTTTCTCCTTTTAGCTATTAAGAGTACTTTTGTTATAACAATTATGTCAAAAGTTTTGTGGTGACATCAGTGTTTTATTTCTCTTGGGTGTATTCCTCAGAGTGTAATCTAGGTCACACAGTAACTATGCTTAATCATCTGAGGGACTAGTTGACTGTTTTTGAAGGAGTTGCACCATTTTACACTCTCACTAGCGGTGTTTGAGTCCACCACATTCTTAATGACTCTTATTATTCTCTGATTTTTTGAGTCTAGCCATCTAGTGAATGTGAAGTGATTTGTGGTTTTGAATTGCATTTTTCTGATAACTAATGAAATACCTTTTCGTGTGTTTATTATCCATTTTCACAGTTTCTTTGGAGAAATATCTATTAAATCCCTTGCCCATTAAAAAAAAAAAAGGTTGATTTTTAAATTTTGAGTTATTAGAATTTCTTATGTTGTCTGGATACAAGTCCTTTATGAGAAATACAATTTTCAAATATTTTCTCCCATTTTGTGAGTTAACCTCCTCACTTTTTTGGGGGGGCTGGGGGGTTGGTCTTACTGTGTTGCTGAGGCTGCAATACATTGGTGTCATCATAGCTCACTGCAGCCTTGAACTCCTGGGCTTGTTGGATCCTCCCATCTCATCTTTGGAGGTGCTAGGATTATAGGATTGAGTCACCACACCTAGTAGTAAAGTTTAGAATAAATTTGTCATTTTCTACAAAAAAACGTTAGTTGCTACTCTGATACGCATTGCATTGCATCTGTAGATCAGTTTTAAGAATATTAGCATCTTAATGTTTTGTTCTAATCAATGAACATCTGATGTTTTTCTACTTATTTTGATCTTCCTTAATTTCTTTCCAAAGTATTTCATAATTGCCCTGGGTAGAACCTCCATTACAATGTTGAATAGAAGTGGTGAATGTAGATTTTTTTTTCTTCTACCTGATATTAGAGGAAAGTATCCTATCTTTTGGCATTAAGCATAATGTTACCTATGAGCTTTTCACAGATGTCAAGTTGGAGAACTTCTCTTCTATGACTAGTTTGTTGAATAAAACATGTTAGATTTTGTCAAATGCTTTCTTTGATCGTGGAATATTTTTCATTTTTATTCTATGAATACAATGTATTACTGTAGTTGGTTTCTTAATGTGAAACCAACTTTGCATGGTTTAGATAAATCCCATTTGATCATCATTCATAATTAATTTATATATTGCTGTATGCCATAGAATGAAATTAACTTTGTGCCATTGGAAGCTTATAGTTGTCAATTAAAAATCAGGATGATATGGATGTTGTAGACAGTGTGTATTTGAGGATAGCAATCAAAAGGTAAAATAAGAAAAGAAAGAATAACCAAATGATAGTGAGATTGTAAAGTCAAATAATAATAATAATGACTGCTATTTGTTGTGTTCCAAGGATTGTGTTAAGCATTTTATAAGTATGAATTCATTTATTCCATACATCGTCTATTAAAAAGTTATTATCATTATATTCATCTAACAGATGAAACAAAGATTCAGAGAAGTTAAATAACTTGCTTAAAGTCATATAGCAAGACCTGCAAGATCAGTATATTTGACTTCTTACTGATGTTAAAAGATAGCTTAGAGTAGGAAGTTCGAATTAGCTATGCAGGAGGTGGTTCACTTTATGATAATGAAAACATGCACAGTGTCAACATAATAGGATAAAGGAAAATAACATTTTTTAGAGCTGAATATGTAAGGAGCTTGAAGAGTAAGATGAGGTATACAAAGAGAATTGAAATATCATAGAAAGGAATGGGATGGGAAGATTAAGAAATATGTGGTAGCTGGTAATGTCTGTGTGTAAAGGAATAATGCCTGAGATTTTGATGGAGGACCACTAATAAAAAATGTAGAGAATGTATGCCGTTAATGTTGAGAATTCCACAACCTGAGAAGAAATACATATCTGAAAAACAAGGAGGATACCAACACTGCTCTCGAATTTAAGATATGTAGCACATGAAAAGAAAATTTAAGGACTGCAGGAAATGGTCCATTAAGAGGGTAAAAATATTTCATCCAAAAAACAGAAGTAAAGAGGAAATTCAGAAGAGTTTGAGGATATTTGAAACTTGATGAGTAGGCATTCCAGAGAACAAAATGGGACAAGAAGTTAGGGAGGGGAGAAGACTTTAGTCAGCTAAGATCATAAATTGGACAGCTGGAAACGATAGTTTAGAATCAAATGGGTACACAGAGAGAATTTTCATTCTCTTATTGACAAAGATTAGAAAGGAGGTCATGAAAGACAGTGAATTTCATTTTACATGTGCATTTATGTGCGTTCTTAGGCAAAACGGTATTGGTCTAAACACTGGGGTTATGGAAATAATTGCTTTTTTTCTTTCAAATGGAGATGAATACTTTAATATGGTAAAAAGTGGTTTTGTGGGAAATATCTTATTTTACCTTCTCCCTGGTAATAATTCTGACTTTTATTCTATTAAATTGTAGAATGAATATCAGGTTTTTAGTCAAATATGAGCTACAAATTTTAGGAAGTTCTTGGGAGAATCAGAGGATCTAGATGACTCAGCGGTCTTCTTTAGAATTTCATATGTCAGCCTAACAACTGAGGTTGATAAATATTAGAAATAGAATAAATGATTTATCAAGAAGTTCTAATGTCTGTATCAGCAAGTCCACCTCTCTTTCATTCCTTTGTGTCTGGCTGCTTTTTGCCCTATTACATGGGCGATTCAGCTGCCTAACCTGTAGCTGAATGGAGATGTGCTGCCTTCTTTCATTTATTGTTAGGTTGGCACCTAATAAATTATGAAGTAAATAATGGCGAAGAAAGTTTGTTTATACTTTGTGTAAAGAGGATC